AATAACTCTTGGGATTGTTTCAAATCCTAATTTTAGATTAGGATTCTTCCATGTATGAGTCATGTTCTTCCTACCCTTTACAAAAGACCATGGGCAAAAATTCAATTTGCCCCTAGCACAATGTGAACACTTGTGGTAAATAGTCTCTAAGATAGAGAAGGATATCTGAGGGGAACAAACATTCCTTGATGAAATATTGTCTAGTGAACTCTGCTCTCATAACTGTCAATTTCATCTGAAAATTATTTCCAACAATTCACTTTTTTACCATATTATAAACCACCCTCTGAATGTATATGTGTATATGCATGTACATATGCGTATACGTATATATTAGTGGATACTACTTGTTTCAAAATATTCCTCCACAGCAGCTACTATGAGGGCAAATGCAGACAGGTGATATTTTTAAAAAATGACTTGGAAAAATGTGCTTCAAATCTCACATAAGATTGTCTGCAGCACAAGTAAAGCAGCCCCCCCCCCCCCCCCGGATATCTGTGTGAGTCTGGACAAAAAGTGTGGTTGCTTTAAAGAGTCAAGTTGTTAAAGTTAATGTGAGTCCTAAAGTTTCTTCAGGCACACATGGAAGTCTGAAGAATGAAAGGTGTTACAAAGAACAACAGCTTGCATGAGGATTAAAGTCCATCTTCTTAATCAGTTTTGAAGCTTGCATGGCTCCAGCATTCCATTTGCTCTGGAAACTTAGTGAGATAAACTTTGCTGATCTATGTCAGATTATTATTACCAGATTGATAGTTTCCTGGAGACTATTCCTTTTTGAGGATGGGTTTATTTGTCCTCTTCATTTATTTGGCAAATTCTGTATCATGTTTATATAGTTTGGACCAGATTGTTAGAATGTATCCAGGATACAATTTATATGAGGCTAATGCTTTAACCTGGGAGAGTCTTAAATTTTTCATATTGCAAGGATCAAGACTTGATTGATTTCCTGCGTATTACTTTTCTCCCTGAATGAGAAAGTGATCATCAGCAAAGGAAGTCACAAATTTCTCACAGACTAGAGACAGACTATGCATAGTAGAGTATTTCCCGTTGTTCTTGTCATAATTAAAATCCTTCACCACTACTATTTCATACCTCCTAGAAAAGTCTTCATTTTTTATAAAAAAAAGCACAATTTTCCTCCTTTTTTTGACAATGTATTTTTAATGATAATTATCTTTGTATTTATTTTTCCCCTTTTCATTATTTTAAAAGCAATAATAAATAAGTCATATTTCTCTTTGCATGTTATGAGTTCAAGCTCATTTGAACTTTTACAATGCTCATAGTCTAAGCATTAATAAATAAGCAACCAAGGCTGCAATCTTCATAAGCAAATGTTCTTCCTCTTTATTATTTAAAAAAAAATCTAACTGTAGTCAATCCTTCACTTCCTTTTTGAGTGTACAAATTTTTATCTGAACTTCTCAGGCCTGAGTTTCCACTTTCAACCCTACCAGGGTTTTGCCTAAAGCATCTCTCATCAACCTTACCCTGTTTCATTATTATTCGTTGAAACATTTCCACTTTTTTATGTCATGCAGCCCATCTTTTGTCACTGTCTTTTATCCAGAAAATATAGTCCTGAATCATAGAATCATAGGGCTGGAAGGGACTTTGGAGGTCTAGTCCAAGTCCCCCACCATGACAGGAGACCTTGTATAAACATAGACAAATGGTTGTCCAATGTTTTCTTGAAAATCCCCAGTAATGGTGCACCCACAACTCCAGGAGGCAAGCTGTTCCATTGGTTAATTGTCCTGTCAGGAAGTTTATCCTTAGTTCTGGGTTGGATCTCTTTTTAATGAGATTCCACCCATTGCTTCTTGTCCTACCCTCAGAAGCTTTGAGAAGAAGTTGATCCCCACCTCTCCATAGCAGTTCTTCATATATCAAAGATAGCTATTATGTCACCCTATTTTTTCTCTTCATTAGGCTAGACATACCTAGTTCCCTTTACTATTTCTTGTACGATTTATCCTGCAAACCCCTTATCATATTAGTTACTTTTTTCTACTCTTTCTCTGGTATCATTTTTTTATATTATGGTGACAGAACTGGACACAGTATTCCAAGTGTGGCCTCCCTAGTGCAATATAAAACAGTATTATAACTTCTCGTGATATTGATGCTATTCCTCTACTGATGCAGCTCAGGGATCAAATCTCTTCAATGAAACAATTTTTTCCTTTTCCAATCCTCTTCCACGGCACAATAATCTAATCACTATCTTAAGTGCTTTCTTATGTTCTACAATCTACATCTTCTTCCAGTCAACTAAATGAGCTATATGCCTCATCTTAGTGTTTTCAGAAAGTGACAAAAGCATTTCTCTATCCATTTTCTCGATACGGATGTTGCTTGAAACACATAATTACAATTATGCCTTACTCATGGGATTTGCTGTTTTATAGCTGCCAAACATTAAGCTGTCATCTATGTTGAGCTCTCAACATACATCTCTGAGATATTTTTTCTGGTTGGTTAAAGACAACTCAGACACTGTAAGTCTATATATGACTTTCTTTTGGTGGTGTGGTGGAGGTGGGGGGATCCCATTATGCGTCACATTAAACTGTGTTGCCTTTTCCATTTGGGTGACCATTCACTTTTCTGAAGCTCTTCAGACCATTTTATTACCCTGAATAGTCCAGTCCCCAATTAACTCCCAGAAATATGGCCAGTCCCCAATGAACTCTCAAGTCAAGATCATTTTCCAAATTATAAACCTCTTGATTGCAGCATTGATTCTTGAGAGACTCCAGTGAGAAAATTGTCCATATATTCCTGTTAGTGACTTTTTGGTCTTTGCTGAGTTAATAATCCTTTTGTTGGTTGGTCCTTTTATTCTAGGACTGTTTACTTTACTCAAGAGCTATTGACTCTTTTTTCCCCCAAAGGCTTTTGAAAAATCCAAGCATACATTGACAAGAAGTCATCTGTATGGCTGGATCTACTGACCTCTTAAAAACTATAGTAGTTTAATGAGGGAAGATTTAAAATTTTGAGGATCTCTGCTAATCCCTTCAGCTAGGCTTCATCCTATTGCTTAGTTTACCATTTATATCTATTTGTCTGGAATAGATGTTGAACTTTTTCAAGTTTTTCCAAATCCTTTTCTCCTGGGTCCTTTAAAAATATATTCCAGCCTCTGGTACAGAACAAAAAATTAAAGAAAAATATATTTTTGGTAGATATTGAGCAATTTTACATTGTTTACTGAAGTGTAGAAGAGTAGATGCTCTCAGAACCAGAATTGTTTTGTTATTGTTACTCTCAAAATGATCCAGAATATCTATTTGGGTATCTCAATTTGCTTTAACTGCTTCAACTCCCTGTCTGAAAAGTACAGGTCATATCTCCAACTTCTATTGTAAAGACAGGTGGAAATAATTACAATGATCCAGGCTTTTTTTGATCATAGTATCTTCCCTTTCTTCTGTAATGGTCCAAAAACTATTCTGCCAAGTTTCTCTGATTCAAATATATGTAAAGAACCATGTCTCAATGTATTTTGCCATATGTTGGTACAATAATAATCCTCCAGTGTTGGTAGGCTTATGTTCTCTGAGAAAGACAGCTATGCCAGAGATTCAAACATACTGGGGAGGTTTCAGCAGAGGAGCCAGACAAAGAGTGTTTCTCCTATAAACAATATGGTGACAAGTATTTTACAAAATCCATACTGAATTGATCATTGCCTGGATCAACAAGGACCACACTGGAGTTCCTGGACATCTCATGATAAATGGGCTACAGGACTGAGGACAGTTGGCTGAGCAACCAACTGCAAGATTAGTAGAAGAAAAGGTGGAAGAAAACCTATTGCAATTACACAAAGTTTGAAAACAAAAAATAATGATCTATTATTACAAATCAAGTCCAATGCTAAGAGGATTATCTTGCGGTCTGGAATCCTAGGAACATATTTTAAGGAACACTGGTTAGGCTATCTAGAGATGTGGTTTCCTTGTTTTAGAGAAATAAAATAAAGTTGCTTTGTTTTTAACTTTTTATATATCATGGTTTGAGGCATGGTACATGTACGCACCTGGGCAATGTGCTCTTTTGGCATCAATATAACTAGCTTATGATTAAGAATGCACAAAACATTCTATATATGCACTCTTTGTGCACAGAACAGTTGGGTTTGCCTGAAACAACACATAAGCATTTTGGAAGCTTGGGATCACCTATAGAACAAAACTGTTGCCTAGGTAAAGAGTTTGGCAGAACATCTGGAATGCAATGGCTTACTCCAGATTCAAAACAAAATTTTGTATTTTACACACACGTGCTTGCTACTTGTACATGTTTTATAATAGATTTTAGATCCAACTGAAAAAAATTGTCTTATGTATTACTAAATACATAATACCCTAATAAATACCATTCATACTGAATGCTCTAAGTTTAAATCAAAGCAATTAAACTTTTAAATCCACTTTTAAATCCTATTAGACACTTTTTAACTGATAGGTTGAAAAAAATTATTTTCTATGGGTTCTTGCATACCAAAGCTGTATCAACATAGTAGATAGATGTTCTCCTGTTCTCCAGGAAGAAATAGAGGTACACACCTAGCAAATGAAGTCCTGTATTACGTTCCTTCCAATTTACACCAGGTGGAGAGAACATGTGGTACGTTTTTCTTTTCCAATTTCAAATCGTTTCCATCCACCTCTCCCCAACTCTTGTGCGTTTTGTTTCCCTGTAAAGTAAAAGGAAGACGAAAGGAGAGCTTTTTGGAGATCAGCGTCCCACGAAGGCTGCAATTATAGATCCCAAAGGAAGTAAACACGAGATCTACTAGGCAAGGCTGCGGCGAAGGGCAGTGCTACATATGAAACCATCAAGAGTTCACCCGGATTTGAGGAAGATCTGCCTGAATTTCTCTGCATTTTTGTCGGGAAAGGCTTTGCAATTTAGTCCCGCCCATCGTCGCAGATGAAGTCAGAGCCTGGTCTGGGAGGAAGACGCCTGCTGTACCCTCCAGTTAGGTCCTCTCTCTCTGCAAAGCACCGCTCCAGGCCGGGGTCCGGGCTGAGACGGAAGCACAGCAGCACACAACGTTTCCGCGGTGCGTAGGCCGCTCTCTTCCGAGCGGGGTCGCCTCTCTGGCAGCCGGTGGGTGCGAAGGTCGCGCGGCGGAGCAGCAGCTCCCTCGGGGGAGGCGCGCTTTGAACCAGGCGCCGGGAGACAGAAAAGGAGAACCATGGGGAGCCTGAAGGAAGAACTCCTGAAGCCCATCTGGCACGCTTTCACCGCCCTCGACTTGGACAGGAGCGGTAAAGTCTCCAAGTCGCAGCTTAAGGCAAGTTCCAGGAGAGATGGGAGAGCGCCTCGAGCCTTCCACAGAGGCGAGGAGATGGGGCGGCTGGGGCAGTTTCTGGGGAGCCCTCGAGGGGAAGCCCATTAGCTGCCCCCGGCGGCATCTTCCCTAGACACTTCCCCTTTTTTTGGCGGGGAGCCTTCCAGACACGGGTCAGAGCGGCATGGGCGTGGGGAAGCGACCTAGAGTCATTGCTAAGCCCAGTCATTGCCCCACCTAAAACTCTTCTCCGCTTGGAAAGCTTTTCTTTTGCTTTTCACAGTGAGTGGCATTGGGGGGGGAAAAATTACCCGGAGCATTTTGTCTTTTGGCCTCAGAGCTAAAAAAGAGCGTGTGTCCCTTAGGATGTGAGATGGAGGTGGTACAGGCAACTCGGATTCCTTCCAGGGGATGATGGCTATACAGGAAGTCCTCGAATTACAACCACAATTGCGCCCAAAATTTATGTTGCTAAGTGAGTTTGCCCCATTTTACTAATTTCCTTGCCACAGTTGTTAAGTGAAGCATTGCATTTGTTAAGTTAGGACCACGGTTGTTAAGTGAACCTGGCTTCCCCATTTGCTTTGCTTGTCAGAAGGTCACAAAACCTGATCACATGACCCCAGGACACTGCAAGCGTCGTAAATATGAACCACCTGCCATGCATCTGAATTTTTGATTATGTGACCATGGGGATGCTTTAATTGTCATAAGTGTGACAAACAGTCATAAGTCCCTTTTTTTCAGTGCTGTTGTAACTTTGAATGGTCATTAAATGAACTGTTGTAAGTCAAGGATCACCTGTATTTTCAGAGAGGCTTGCAGAACTTTACTAAGAACTTTGTTCACATTAAGCTATTGGTTGCTTTATCAGACGTTATTAAGTAGCAATAGCCCTCAGATTTATATACCATTTCATGGTGCTTAACAGCCCCTTCTAAGCGGTTTACAGAATCCGCATATTGCCCTTGATAATCTGGGTCCTCATTTTAGTGACCTTGGAAGGATGGAAGGTTGGGTCAACCTTGAGCAGGTGAGGAAGACAATTGTGTGGGTTCACACAACATGCTGACCATAATCCCACAGACTGGGCTCAGACAACACTTTCAGCCAAAACCAAATAAACCATGTAACTGAGTAGGATATCTGAATCCAGGCAGGATCTGGAGTTGATAACTCCTGATCAGAGTAATCTTGAGCTCCACTTGGGAGAATCCAGAAATGAAAGTATGTTTTTAAGGTAGGTTTCTGAGAGAACTTTAGCAAGCCCACCTTTTTATTTCTGCAGGTTGTGAGGCTGAAAATGCTTTTTTGTTTAGATGACAATTTCATTTTTTCTGGGTCTAAGTGGTAGAATTCACTGGCACAGGACCAGGCAAAGCAGATTTCAGATTATTAGCCTGTCTTTATCAACAACTTTAGAGGAAATATAAAAAGTGAAAAAACTACACACACCCCTTCCCGGATATCTGCATAAGGATATTACATAGTAACTCAAGTGTTCTTTTGTTTTAACTAATTTCAAACAATTATAAAGTAATACAAAAAACTAGTGTGGCATTTATGTGTGTTTTCAGTGTAGCATGACTCTTAGGGCCACTTGAGTATCAGCCATGCTGCACTTCATGTAAATGTGATGGTATTGACCAACTAATTTTGCTATGTGCTCATTTTATAATTTAGGATGAGTTCATTGTACATTTAATTATAGGCATGCTAGAGTTCTATAAATGCTGAAATAAGCTAAATGTGCATGCGGGGTGGGAGTTAAATCTTAAAACAGCTTACATATCAGAATGTATGCATTATGCAGGTGGTTCAGTGCAGATTAGAAATGACATCCATGTATTCATCTTCTCAACATGTTTGGTCTTGTGGATAGACTATTCAGAGACAATGTTACACTATTAGGCAGTCATTTATTTTAAATCAGAGGTCTCCAAACTTGCCAATTTTAAGACTTTATGACTATGCTGGCTGGAGAATACTGGGAGTTGAAGTCCACGAGTATTACAGTTGCCAAGTTTGGAGACCTCTGTCTTAAATGGTGAAATAAGACATACTTTTAAAAGGACAACAAACTGTTAATGATTGATCTCATTGCATTTGTGTAAGAGAAGACTCTGAGCTTGAGTGCCTAATTTGCATGGAAAAAATAAGGTTCAGTCTTTTGTAGTTCCACATAAAACTTGGAAATTCCCCTCTCTTGAAGAGCCAGTCAGCTAGACAAGACTGTTTTAGCAAGATTAATGCCTTGATATGGAGTAAAGTAATTTCTGCTGTTTTCTAAATTTTTGCAGCTTTGTGATTTGTTAATAGCCTACCTCAACCCTATCAAAATATTTTGGCTGTTTAAGAATATTCCCTAATACTCCTTGTTGTACGTGAAACTGAATCAAATAAGATAAAGTTGGCCTTGAGTTGAGTTCGGCTTCTTGGTGACCCAACCACAGTGGAAAATAATGTGCAGTTTTCTTGGCAAAAGTACTGAAATGATTTTGCTGTTGCCACTTTCTTCTTCTGGGATATTTTTCAATTTCCCAGTTATAAGTTTGATATTTGTTTATTTTATATTTTTATCCTACTTTTATTAATAACTCTAGGCAGTGAATATACTTAATATTTCTACCTTCTTCTATTTTCCCCACAACAACCAACCTGTGAGCTGAGTTAGGCTGAGAGAGAGTAACTGGTCCAAAGTCAACTAGCTGGTGAGACTAGAACTTACAATTTCTTGGTATGAGGCCAAGCTGGCTCTCCCTGATTGTCACAGTCCAAGTATTAAACCAGTTTAGCTTCTATCATAGTTCTGTTTAGACTAATGAAAAGGAATAATTGTTCTTATTCTAGAGTTCTCTTTAATTGATGTATTCTAAAATGTAGCTTGAATTTTGGGAACAGTTTAAGGAGATATAAAGCTGCCTCATATAAACATATTTTCTAGTCCTTGGGTAAAAAGTAAAGATTCTAGAACAGGGGTGTCAAACTTTATTTCATTGAGGGCCACATCAGGGTTGTGTTTGACCTTGGGGAGCCAGGGTGGGCGTGGCCAGGGTAGGTATAGTCAGTTCGACGTCACTCATGTCAGGGTGCCTTGGGTGGCTGGAGCGCTCTGCCAGGGAAAACGGGTTCCTGAGCTCCATTTTCAGCTGCAATGGCCTCCTGCAACTCTGCACTCTTGAGGCACCCACTTTCTATTTTACCATATCTAGTTTTGTCCTGGTTCTGATTACATGAACTTCCCCCGAAAAACCTATAAACCCACTTTATCCTAAAAGGGTTTTAGATAAGGCTTTCCCAACACTTGTTATTAGAGACATAGTCATTTTAAGGGATGGAACCCAGATCTGCTACAACGTTTTAGCACTGAAGTGTGGTCCCTTCTTCAGTATTTCAAATAATAGAACACAAAAAAATTGTTTGATGTGTTGAAACAAAGACATAGTTCTATCCTTAGTTTGGGATGTGGTCCTCCCCTGTTTAAAAAAAATCAAGTGATTTAAGCACAGTGATACCTGGCGCACACAACTATTGAGCTAAAAATTAAATTTGGCTCAGAAAATTGCCATTTTGCTGTAGTGTCCATTCAAGTACTGCCAAATTATAATTGCTCATTACTGTAGATCTTTTTGTCCTGTGAAAATGAAGAACATATAATCTTAGCTATTTTAGGCCACGGTTGGACTGCCAGGCACAGTTGGAACGAAGCCATTCTTATTATAAGAATTATTCTATCATTGTATTTCACATTTAATGCTGCAAAGCATAAAAACATAGCATGTCCCACCTTCTTCCATTCAGTTGGTTGTTGCTCTTTCTACTCCATTGGTCTACAACATTCAGGCACCCGAATGAAAGAACTGGTTTTTGTTTCAGCTCCATGTGGAGCTTGCCAAAGGGAGATATTCTGTACTGGAGACGAAATAGAACAAGTAGTCAAATACTCCATTCTTGCTATACAGTCTCTGGAGCATTCACCATAGCACAATTTGTAGATCTTTGATCTGTAAATCTGGGCATATTCCAGCAGGCTCCCTTGGCCCTCATTTCCTCTTGGTAAGCCAACAGTAAGAGCGTTTTGAAAAGGCTTCTACACCTGTGGAATGCCTCGGATAGTAGATCATTGTAACATCACTAGTTTGGCTGGAGTCTGTGCTGGCAACTGTGAATTCTGTTAATAATTCATGGCAGACTTAAGAGAATTAGGCAGGACTGAATGAAATCCCATAATTCTTTTCCGTATTTATAAGTTTTCTGAAAGTTGTCTGTGGAATTTTTATAAACATTGCTGGGAATCTTACACAGTTCTTCAAATGTCTTCTTTTTTTTAATTTAAATTGTCACTATGGGTGGTAACTCTAAATTAAAAGCTGGATTAAGTATGAAAATGTTGTCTTGAACTTTGAGAGTAGATTTGATGTCATGGAGTAGATGGCCAAGATTAATGCAAATATCTTGTGCTTCCCCACCACAATGATGCTGTGGAACCTATCATATCCTCATATGAACACACTGCTTACTACAAGGAAAAAAATTACTTTAGTTTGGACATTGTAGAGAAGAATAAGGAACAGGAAGAATTTAGCATTTGTTTTCTGCATTACACTGAATAATGCTAGCAGAGTAGGTGCTGTGTCAGTTTTCTGTGTGAAGCTGCAGTGAAAGTTTATTAACTACATTGACAGTTCCTAGGGCAGAAGTTCAGCAAGCATAGAAGCTTCTGCAGTTTGAGTAATCAAAGGGTTATTACGAGTATTTTATTTAAGTTAGTAGCACATTTGCTTTTACAGCACTGTGCTCTAAAATAGTTGTATCATGAAGTGTAATTAACTTTTGAAACTTTTAGATTATTTTAAGTGTTGCTCCTCTACTTTTTTGAAATGTTACACTTCAGTATCTTTTAAAAAAATCTTATGGATAGTATTATATTATGCATATCTTGAATTTAAATATATAAAGTTCTTTCATGTAAAAGGTTGTAAACGTTTCGTTATGCATGTGGC